CCATGGGCTATAGCCTTGGGTAATTTTCAGAATTTTGACATTTTCTTAAAATGGCGGTAACTTGAAAAATTGAAGTCGGAATCGCCTCAAACTTGCTACACAGCATAAGGACATCAATATGTATCAGAAAATGTAATAAAAATTTGGGGTGATTTCGGAGCCATTTTTTGGAAAAAAAAACCATGGGCTATAGCCTTGGGTATTTTTCAGAATTTTGACGCTTTCTTAAAATGGCCGTAACTTGAAAAATTGAAGTTGAAATCGCCTCAAACTTGCTACACAGCATAAGGACATCAATATGTATCAGAAAATGTAATAAAAATCTGGGGTGATTTCGGAGCCATTTTTTGAAAAAAAACCATGGGCTATAGTACAGGGTATTTTTCAGAATTTTGATGTTTTCTTAAAATGGCTGTAACTTGAAAAATTGAAGTCGGAATTGCCTCAAACTTGCTACACAGCATAAGAACATCATTATGTATCAGAAAATGTAATAAAAATTTGGGGTAATTTCGGAGCCATTTTTTGAAAAAAACCATGGGCTATAGCCTTGGGTAATTTTCAGAATTTTGACGTTTTATTAAGATGGCCGTAACTTTAAAAATTGAAGTCGGAATCACCTCAAACTTGCTACACAGCATAAGAACATCATTATGTATCAGAAAATGTAATAAAAATTTGGGGTGATTTCGGAGCCATTTTTTGGAAAAAATCCATGGGCTATAGCCTTTGCTTTTTTGCAAAAATTTAAATGGCAGCCTATTTTTACTGCATGTACATTGTACATGTATTACACAGCATTTACTGCTAACCTCCTCCTGCCACGGTTTGGGTACTATTCCGGTCGCAAACTTGTTTGCAAAGTCTTCGTCAGCTTTCTCAATCTCTACTCCTCTGACTGAGGAGAACTGATCAATATCCAACACATCTTTAGCATAGACTGCTCTGGACTGAGGGATTAGGATAAGAACAATAATCATTTAATTAATCTTATTATAATAATTAGGATTAATACTAAAACTATGCACTGCATATGTACATGTATTATGTACTAAATTTTGCAAAAAATATCTCAAAAATATGTGACATAAACTAATTAAACTTGCAAGTCTTTAACTGCTAAAAACAACAAACTTATTTCTATTTTTTGAATATAAAGTTAAATAATTTATACTCATACATTCAACAAGATTACAGCATATACATGTACATGGCTACATCACAAATGGCCTCAAGTGACAAACAAAACATTACATGCAACATCCATTACAAAACATCCATTACATGTATACATGTACATGTAATGGATAATTTCTATATAATATACAGTGTATTACAATAGCACTGGGTCTTACATTGGGTATGAAAGGTGGTGGTATGAGTCCGGCCTCTAAATGAGCAAAGTCTATTGTCTGGAAGAAAGGAAGTTCCCCTTACATTCAATAGCACTTTGTCCTTCATAGTGAAGTTATACTACCAAACAGTGGTTGATAACTTGATATATCATACAATCTCATCATTGCATGTCATTAATATTTTTTGTTGTTATTATCTTATTACTTGTGCTTCTGCTTTAGCTTGTCCAGTGCTCTCAACAGCAGCTGCTACTGCTTGTAACTCTAACAACTCCTTACTTGCTTCCTCTGCCTCCTATCAATAATAATGAATTTGAAGATTATAAAGTGCTCTGTTTGTCTGCTAATGTTTATAAACACTAACAGAAAACATCAAAAGGGAATGCAAGAAAATGTTGTAGACATGTACATGTGTACTCTAATGGGAATAAACTAAAGTGGTACATATTAATATACTTTCATTATTCTTTAACATGTTCATAATATTAATTACCTTTTCATTTTGTAGTTTTTGTCTCTCTAGTTCTCCTTTTGCTTTTTGTTCAGTTCTCTGTGCCTCATGCTGTGCTGACCTCTCTATTGACCTGTACATAGTAACATTATAACAAGCAAATGTATCCAATAATGAAAGATAGAATCAGGCAAGTGAATATTATTAATAAGAAATGTACATAAGAATGTAGTGTTTGTAAATGGTCAACATTTTGTGTAATGGTCTCATGAGTAATGTGAACACAATAACTTAAATGTACAATAATCATTATATCATTATTCAGGATGTACTAATGTAAATGTAAATGTACTAATAATAACTTAGTGTGTGTGACCACAAACCAAGGTTAAAGATGACAACCAAAATAGATAAGAATTATAAGATAATATTACAATACTATACATGTAAATGATCAGCAGAGGAATTATGACTCACTTTGTAGATATCTCAATTGCCATTTGCACAGATTTAGATAGAGAGTCCCTCATATGATGATCAATTGGTTCAATACTTTGAATATCAATATTAGTGATCACCTACACACAATACAATTATATACACTGATTAAATTTGCAGGCCAAGAAGCATACACTATAAAAATAAAGAGGAATGCCTTGACATGATCCTCACATTAAGTTAGTCAATTAATTTAACTGTCAACTTGACAAAATGCATGAAGACATCATGAAAGCTAGCTAAATTTTCAAAAGTGATACAAACATGCATAGATAAAGCAATGTCTTCCAGATCCAGTGCAATCTACATGTACATGTACATGTAAGTAATGTAAGTAATGCAATGTAAGTAAGTAA